CCTGTGCCATGTGCTGTATGACCTGTGCCCTACCCTGTGTGTCCCCAGCTGTGTTCCCTGTGCCATGTATGTGCTCTGTGTGTGTAACCTGTGCCACGTCCATGGGCCATGCACCATGGTCATATGTGACATGTGCTGTGTCATGTCCCATGTGCCACACTGTGTGCTGTGTCCCACGTATGTGTTCCATGTGCCACATGCTGTGTGCTACGTGCTCTGCCATGTGGCATGCAGTGTGGCATTGCTGTGTATCTGTTCCATGTGACATGTGCATTGTCCCGTGCCACATGCTGTGTGCCTTGTCATTTCCCTGTGCTATGTGTTATTTGTCATGTGCTCTGTGCCATTTGTCATGTGATGAGTTCTGTGTGCCCTGTGCCACCTGCTGTGTGCCATGTTCCTTGTATCATGTTCCTTGTGCCAGGTGCCATGTTTCATGTGCCATGTTCCCTGTGCCATGTGCCATGCGTCACGCTGTGCCACGTGCCGGGCACTGTGCCACACTCCTGCCATGTGCTGTGTGCTGATGCTGCCAGCATGGTGCCAGCAGATGCTCCTGGCACGGTGACATCCTCAGGGGCAGGGTGTGCCCAAGGCCACCACAGGGACTGAAACCGGGGCCTGGCACAGCCTCACGGGGTAGGGGCCACCTGAAGTGCCACCGAGCTGGGCTCCAGGTGCTGCCACGTCCCTGGGCACAGGTGCCAGGCTGGCCCCAGGTGGGTGTCACTGTCCGGGACAGCTCTGCCGGCCCTTGGGCACCGCTGGCAGCACACGGCAGGGGCAGGGGCGCGGTACCTGCCCCCCCATCAGCCCCTATTTATAGCTGTGATTCATCGCTTCGGGGCGGGATCCCGGCTGTTGCTGTGGAAACCCAAACCTGCCGCCGGGGGGATGCAGCGGGGCCGGTCCTGTGCGGGCAGGAGCTGCCCTGGCACCCCTGCCCATGGGGACGGAGGGTGGGTGCAGAGGGACCCTCGGGGCTGGCAGTGTCCAGGGACACCTCACTGGGCTGTCCGTGCCAGCAGGAGGGGCTGGCACAGGGGGCAGGGTTGGCAAGGCTGGCACAGGGGGCAGGGTTGGCAAGACTGGCACAGGGGGCAGGGTTGAAAAGGCTGGCAGAGGGGACAGGAGTGGCAGAACACTGGTGCCACTGTCCCACAGAGCCCAAGGAGTTTCTCACCAGCTCCCCCCGGTCAGCCAGGCCTAGCCAGGGGTCCTGGTGGTGCCAGGGCCGAGCCCCCACCCTGCTCACCCTAATTAAGCCAGTTAACCACTGACTGAGCCTCTGCTGCCTGGGGGCTCCACGGGGCAATTCCTTGGAATGTGGCAGGAGAGGGGCTGCTCTGAGGACTGCTCCTGCACGGCACACCCCAGGGTGCTGGGGGTGGAACGAGCCCCTCGGTGCCAACACCCCAGCACGGAGNCCAAGTGATGAGACATCTCCGGAATCGCTGCATCCGCTGTGATGAACGCTCTTCCCTGGGTCTCTGATGGCAGCGGCCGCCGGCCCGGCCCGGCTGTTCCTTCGGGAGCCATCGCAGGGCAGGAGGTGGCTCCCTGCAAGGCGGGAGTGGCACATGTCGTAGAGATGCCGTGTAGCCCGTGGCTGTCACAGGTGGGCAGGAGGCTGGTGACACCTGGTTTGTGACCAGCAGGACCAGGGCAGGGCCTGTCCCCTGTGCTGGTATTGATGTCACACCTGGGACTTCGGTGTTATATTTGGCCTCTCGCTGCACGACAGACATTGAGGAGCATGTCCAGGGAAGGGAATGGAGCTGGGAAGAGTCTGGATCACCAGGAGCAGCTGGGGGGTCTCACCTGGAGAAAAGGAACTCAGGAGGAACCTTCTGGGTCTCCACAACTGCCTGACAGGAGGGATCAGGCTCTGGTCCCAGGGAACAGGGACAGGAGGAGAGAGAACAGCCTGAGTTTGTGGAGAGGAGGCTCAGGTTGGGCATCACAAGGAATTTCTTCCTGGAAAGGGCGTTCAGGCCTTGGCGGGGGCTGCCCAGGGAGGGGCTGGATGCAGCCCTCAGTGCTCCGGGCTGGGTTGGTGAGGTGCTGGGGGTCGGGCACAGGTTGGGCTCCATCCCCTGAGGCGTTTCCCAAGCTGAAGGATGCTGTGACCCTGCCCCTCCAGGAGGAAGGCTCGCCAGGCCAAGGCTCGCCGCATCGCCCCCCGGCCCGTGGCCGGGCCCATCCGGCCCATCGTCAGGTGCCCCACCATCAGATACCACAAAAAGGTCCGTGCTGGCAGAGGCTTCAGCCTGGAGGAGCTTAAGGTAAGTACAGAGCATCCATTCAAAAAGGCAAATAAAGTCTGAGCTGAGCTGCTTCTCCTGTCCTGCCCAAAGTGACTTCCTCAGGTGTTGGTACCTGCCAGGGAGGGCTGTGCATTTCCTGGCTCTGGGAGCAAGGAAAAATGGTCTTACTTGTGATGGTGGAGTGGGGGTGTGAAGAGTACTTTGAAAGGTAAATGTTTATCTGGTGAGAGCATTATTTAAAGTTTTGTTAAAATAAAGCTTAAATAGCGAAAACTTAGTTTGGGTATATGAAAGAAATTCTTCCCTGTGAGGGTGGGCAGGCCCTGGCACAGGTGCCCAGGAAAGCTGTGACTGCCTCATCCCTGGAAGTGTCCAAGGCCAGGTTGGACAGGGCTTGGGACAGGGGAAGGTAAGGGATGGAACTTAAAGATCTCACAGCAAGGGATGGAACTTAAAGATCTTTATGGTCCTTTCCAACCCAGGCTATTCAGAGATTCTATGAAATCTGAATTCTGAAAGAGCCTTGAGTCTCCTAAACTTTTTTGGCAGAGGGAGAAGACTAAGATCATCTTCATTAAATTGTTTGTTCATGAAACATTGTTCTGCTAATTCTACATATTTTAGCCAATGTTTCCAGTTAAGGCCCAAGTAAACTCAGCTCAATTTAGTTCTAAGATTAGCAGAGGATGTTGTACCAGGAGGAAGAACCATTCAGCACAGCATCTTGGAGTGGCTGGAGTAATAATAGTTGGATTAATTTCCTGATAGTTGGATTAAAGTGGGAGGTGTTCCCTGTCCTCTGTTTCCTGTCTCTGTGACCTGCCCAGCTGTGCTGAGCAGCTAAAGGTGGTCTGCAAAGCCACCCACTGTGTCTCTGATCAGATTCCACATCAGGGCTCACTGGCAGCACCAGCTGCCTCTGTGCCTGGCTCAGTGTCTTAATTAAAGCATTTATAACTGGAATTGGTGCACTGAGGCAGGGAAATTGTTCTTCTGGGTGCCAAATACTTCATTGCTTTTTTTTTTTTTTTAATTTTTGGGTAATGGTGGAACACAAAGCAGGATGCAGCTGTTTGTCTTCAAACAGAAAATTAGTTTTTTGTTTAAGATAATCTAAAAAAGTAGACATTATTTAATGGTTGTTTCAGATGGTTAGGAAAAAAATCCTGATTTAATGGAGCTCCCAGTATTCAGTGAAACAGTTGTCCACGAGCTGAGTCATAAACATCTGTGTGAATCCAAGTTTAAACATGTCCTGCAGGGGTTGCACTTTGCTCCTCTAGGGAAATCCACCTGCAGAAATCAGCCCGAACAACGTTTTAAGCACAAAGATACAGCAGGACACCCTTTGTTGGTCACTCAGCTGATGCCCAGCCTTCCTCCAGAGGCTGCACCCCGTGCTGGGGTCCCTGCCTGGCTGGTGGGAGCTGTGGGATGCTGACACTGCTCTCTGCTCTCTCAGCTCGCTGGCATCAACAAGAGGTTTGCCCGGACTATCGGCATCTCCGTGGATCCCCGGAGGCGGAACAAATCCACCGAGTCCCTGCAGGCCAACGTGCAGAGGCTGAAGGAGTACCACTCCAAGCTCATCCTCTTCCCCAGGAAGCCAGCCATGCCCAAGAAGGGAGACAGCTCTGTGAGTACCTCACTGCTGGAAGCGTGTCCTGTTTGGGAGCTTTGGAGTCCACAGAGCTCCTGAGCCCTCTCCGCTGTGTGAGCCCCATGGTTCTGAGCCCAGCACAAGGCCAGGCCTGGCAGGGCTCAGTCTAACAGGGCACTCTGGGTTGCAGTGACACTTCAGCCAGGCATTTGGCTGAGCAGCTGCTAGCTTGTTTAGGTGCTGATTCCTGGAGCTTTGCTCCTTGCTCAGCCAATTGAGTTTTAGTTTAGAGAGCTAAATTGTCACAGTGGCTGAAAATTCCCCTTGGAGTCAGTCCTGCAGTGGAAGGCTGAGGGACAGGCTGTGAGTGGCTCCAGAGCTCTGTGCCAGGCAGGCTCCAGAAGGCAATTGTTATTGACATTCAAAAATGGTTTTCATTAAAACCTCTTCAGGATCAGAGCAGAGCTGTGTTCCCTGGCTCTGCTGCCAGTAGATCCAGGGAACACAAGGGCGAGTTCAGACTGTCCTTCCATCTTGAGGAGAATCTGGCAGCTCCAAGCTGCTTAACTCCATCTTCAGAGCAGGGAGAGAGAGCCTGGAGCTGAAACTCTGATTCAGATGTGTTTGCTGGAAGTCAGCTGTATTCAGTAAACGTTCAGTCATTTTTGTCTGATGACATGCTCTTACAAGAAGCTGGAATCAACTTGAGAAGGAGTTGCTGAGGAACGTGTTGGTTGTGTATGAGCTGTGTGGGCTCAGCCTGGAGAAAAGCAGGCTCGGGGAACAGCCTCAGTTTGTGCCAGGGAAGGTGGTTCAGGTTGAACATCAGGAATTTCTTCCTGGAAAGGGGGATCAGGCATTGGCAGGGGCTGCCCAGGGAGGTTTGGAATCCCCTTCCCTGGAGTTGTGCAAGGAAGGAACAGATGTGGCACTCAGTACTGTGGGCTGGTGACAGTGTGGGGATCAGGCACAGCTTGGACTGGATGATTCTGGAGGTATTTTCCAACCTGGATGATCCTTGTAAATGGAGAGCAGCACAGTTGGTGTCAGAGCTGTCCCAGCTGGCAGAGCTGTGGCCGCTGCTGCTCTGGCTGGATCCGGGCACAGCGTGGGTCGCTGGTGCAGCTCAGCAGTGCCAAGCTGGCTTTGTTCCCGTTCAGTGTTACAGCTCCTGGCAGGATCATTAGCACCATGTTTAAGCTGGGTACCTGCTGTGCTTTAGCTGAGGTTTTAGCCAGAGAAGTTTAAATTCTGTTCTTCTAACATTCCCATCTTCTGTTGTGCAGCCAGAGGAACTCAAGATGGCCACACAGCTCACAGGACCTGTCATGCCCATCAAGAATGTAAGTGTCCTTTAATCATGTTCTGGGTGTGATGTGATTGAGGTTGGACTTGTGGAGAGAGAAATGGTTCTGTCCTTGCTGCCTCACAGCTGAGGGTGGCTGTGTCCAGGCATTGCCCATCCTTGATCAAAAGAAAACCAGGAATAAGTCTTTGATAGAGCTGTGAAATTGAGGGTGCTTTGGGTTCAGCTGGGGTGGGAGTGCTCAGGCAGGTTCTGTGGTCACCATTTGTGCCTAAATCCTCTCTGCTTCCCAGAGCTGCTGTCAGTAGTGTCACAAACCTCTTGTCATTCCCTACAACTCCCTGACAGGAGGGTGGAGCTGGGAGGGGGTCAGGCTCTCCTCCCCAGTGACAAGTGAGAGGACTAGAGGAAATAGCCTCACACTGTGCCAGGGGAGGTTTAGGTTGGATATTAGGAAAATTGCTTCACTGGCCAGGCTGTCCATCCCTGGCACAGCTGCCCAGGGCAGTTGGTAGAGTCCCCATCCTTGGGAGTGCTCGATAAACACATGGATGTGGCACTTGAGGACAAGGTTGGTGGTAACCATGGTGGTGCTGGGCTAACAGCTCGCTATTAAAGGTCTTTACCAGCCTTAACAATGCTGTGATTCTGTAAAGCTGACTCAGGTTTCCCGTGGTGCTTGTTTTCATTCCTGCTCCTGTGAGGAGCCTGCGGGAAGGCAGATCCCGGCGGAGGGCAGGGCCTGTAGATGGCACGAGTGCTCTGTTCCCGCTGCTCTCACAGACACCAGGGTGGGAGGCCTGGGCTCTGAGGGGCAGCCTGAGTGTCTGGCTCCTGAGGGGCAGCTCCTGAGGCTCTCAGCCCCGAGGGGCAGCCTGACTGTCTGGCGCTCTCCCTGCAGGTTTTCAAGCGGGAGAAGGCGCGTGTCATCACGGAGGACGAGAAGAACTTCAAGGCCTTTGCCAGCCTTCGCATGGCCCGGGCCAACGCCCGCCTCTTCGGCATCCGCGCCAAGCGCGCCAAGGAAGCGGCGGAGCAGGACGTGGAGAAGAAGAAATGAACTGTTCTCCCCAGAACTGTCAATAAAGAGCCGTAGAGAGCCCGGTGTGCTGTGGTTTTGGGGCACATGGAGCGAGCGGAGCCGCCCCGTGTGCCTGTGGCGGTGCAGGGATGTGTTCCAGCGTGGGAAGCCTCCTTGGCTGTCATTGGAGGCTCCACATTTCCCAAGTCGAGTTAAGCACCTGTCTTGTGCCCACTCCTCTGCCTTGTCAGGGCTGCAGCCTGGGCTGCCTTCTGCTCTGATTCTGAGGGGCTTTGGGGGTTCCCTCTCAGGGCCAGGCTTTGTCTGCTGCCCCTTCCATGGCTGTTCCTGGTTTGATGATTCCCACACCTCTGTGTGAGGCAAAGCCTGTACAAGTTGGGTGTTGTGGTGGGGGACACTCAGCTGCTGCCCATATGGGGAGCTTTCCCCACTTTTGGGGGGATAAGGTGTGGCCCAGCCCCTCAGCTGGGCTTGGATGGAGCCAATTGCCTGGGCTGGACTGCTGCTGTGCCATCCTGCATGCCCTGGCCCTTGGCTCAGCCCCTGCACCAGTTCTAGGCCACTTTTAGCCATTTCTTCATGGTTTAAAGGCCATCCCATGGTAGATGTGGCATTTGGGGACATTGTGGTGGCCTTGGCACTACTGGGGAGAGGGTGAACTGATCTGGGAGTCTCCATCCCAAATGGTTCTGTGATACTTTAAATGGTACCACAGGAGCTCAGGGGAAACGGGGGGGTTCTGGCTGATCCTTGTGGCTGTTGGGGGGATCCCAGGCTGTGTCTGTCCCTGGGCAGGGCCTGATGGGGCACTGGGATGGGTCTGTGGGATCAGAGCTGTTCCAGGAGCACCCACCCAGCCCTGGGATGGGATGGGACGGGACGGGATGGGATGCGATGGGATGGGACACTCAGGAGCCCTGGCACAGCTGCGTGGTTCCTGGGCAGTTCAAAGAGGTGAGATGTGCCTGGTGAGGTGCTGCCTGTGTCCCATCCCCACGGTGTCCCTCCAGCCCCTGTGTCCTGCTGTGGGCTGGTGCCTCCTGCCCTACCGAGCCGTGCAGGGGCTGTGGGGGGAGTGGGAAGGAGGGTGGCCTATTTCTGCCAGCCAGGCTGGGGATTAGCTCCCAAAGCCCGGGCCCTGTGGTGCCCTCGTGCTTGTTAGCCCTATCTGCATTTTAATCCCTCCAAATTTGAGCTAATTACATCATTCCCATAAAGCTGGGTTGACAGCGCTGCAGTGCTGGGGGGACAGGGGTGGGTGGGGGGTCCCGGGCTGGG